ACACAGTTTATTGACCTAGCCGTGTACGCCGTATACCATGGCCGTACCTTGCCGTACCATGCGGTGTTTGGGTCGTTCAAGGAGGAAGGTCGTTCAAGTCAGCAAAAACAATTCAACAGGAACAAACCTGCGTACGCCCAATACATAACGGCGTTAGCTTCCTCACTTTCTCGTGAGCCGTCGCGGAGGGAGGTCGCGCGTCTCATACTCGTCCTTTCTCTTGTTACTAACCCATTGTTTGTTGCAGGCATTCGACAACCATCAATTTATTTACTGTGCATATTGTTGTGTCCCCTCTCTTGTTACTAATCCCTTGTATGTTACAGATGTTCGAGAACCATTGGCTTCGATATTTATTTTCTTATGTACTGTGATTTCATTTACTGTGATTTATTTACTGTGATTTATTTACTGTGCATATTATTAATCTATTTACTGTGCATATTGTTGTGTCCCCTCTCTTGTTACTAATCCCTTGTATGTTACAGATGTTCGAGAACCATTGGCTTCGATATTTATTTTCTTATTTACTGTGATTTATTTACTGTGCATATTATGTATTCTATGTGTATTGTATAATGAAAAATATTTTTCCAAACAGTTATTCCATCGAAAGAAGACATCGATCAACGTCTACATCTTCAAAGCGTGCGTCTACCACTGCGTTAAGTTACTGTAAGTTAAACTTAAATCATAATTCGATATTCATTGTTATATTCATATTCATCATCACATCGTTTATTATTAATTTTAGTCTATCTATTAATAGACTTAAATTGTGATCAGCCATTGTGCATACCAAGTTATTATTAATTCATTTTGCTCGTTGATTTCTCTACACAGACTTGGGGTATGGGCAGTGGGTCTGTACCTATTATGGTACGGGCAGTGGGCCTGTGCACTAAGACTGTTTGCCGATCCCTCTGGTTTCTATTGAGAAGCCAGATATCGGACGTGTTTAGTCTTTGCCTGGTAAGTAGGATTTGGAGTAAAGGCTCGTGCGCGCCTGGGTACAACGTACCCGCCTACGGAGTAGTCGGGAGTCTGCTCCGTAAAAGGACTCTGTTTTACAGGGGATCTCGCTTGCACTACCATACTTGGTCATGACCTGTGCTCGGGTCTGGTACGTAGGTGACCAGCCCAAAGGGCCTGGAAAGTGAGAGATGGATTCGGGTTTGCGAGGTTGCGCCCGTCTTTCCTATTTTCTTAAACCAGGTTCTGGCGACAACACTTTCATCGCGATACTTGTTCATACTGTAGTTTAACGTGGTTCATCGTAGAATTAATTTTTGGCTTGGTATATTAGGTGCGTAAACGAAATGATCGATGGAACTTTTTCCATTCCGTCTATCTCTTTCGTTTGAGTATTAGCGACTACATTGCGTTAAATTTGTTATTTCGTATTACTAGCATTAATTCGTATTAATTAGAATATTAAGATAATATTAGTTCTAAGCTGAAGAACGAAGACAACCGACGAGGGAACTTAGTTTTTTATAGGTTTAGGCTCAAGAAAGAAGTCATCCGCCGAGGGATTTTAGTATCGGTAGTATTATATAGTTAAGATTTAAGTAATTTATAAGGTTTATTGTGAAAGGTGGGTAGATGTAGAACTTGTGATTCCATCTACTTGCCTTGGGCCTCCACTCGCAGCAACCTCCTCGTGGTGAGGCCCGGGCAATCGGTATTGTCTTCGGTAAAGTATTGTAAAACGAAGATAATATCGAGCTAATGGCTGCGAACTTTGCATTTATTTCGTAACAGCATGTTCTGTTACAGCGGACTTTCAAGGCGAAGGTAGTTATACATATATAAATAAATGTATATATGTATGTATCTTAAAGTATGTTTGTATGTGGCGATATTCCTGGAATTCTGGCCCTCTATAACCCCGAAGGATGCAATAAACGAGCGCCTACCATATAACATATTACCTAACCTCTGTGCAACAACAATATTTCGTTTGCTCCTCGTGAATACGTTGTTATTGAGATATCTGACTATTAATTATTATAAAACAGATCAGGAGCAATTTTTTGGTGCCATAATATTTGTGTGAAAAGGCCATTTACTACCTATTTTGTTAACAACAAATTTTTGCTTTTTCTTTTGCGAACATCTCATTAACTATGAACGGTGCTGTGGGAGCAATTTCAGATTCGGAAGGAGCAAATTGGGAGCAATTTTTTCAGATATAAATCGTTAAGATACGTTAACATTCGGCGCCAACTATTTTCCGGTGTCTATTCTATACCTCGTTTGCGATATTGTTAATTTCTGTACGAAGCAGTCGGTAAAGGTAGTACAGAACAGAATCTTGCCGACGTTCCTCAACGATTTTCGTTAGGTTTCCAAGAAAATGAAACAGGTGGCGAACGTACCGAAGCCTTCTGGGCATGCGTCACTGTACACATGGGAAACTGTGACTTCGGTAAGAGCCTATGGATGTTTCACTGAATTCAGATCTTGGTAGATGGATTTACAAACAGTATAATTAAACAGATACTTATTTTTCCTAACAAAGTTTCGTTTTTACGAAAAACAAGATAAAAATTTCTTTGTTTTCCTGTGGTCATTTTCACATATAATATTTTATGGCTACATAGAAGATCTTTTAATGTACTACGTAGATCTTTTAATGTATAAATCTTCAACAATTTGATTAAGAATTTAGCACCCATTGCACGTTCTATTATTGGATCCTTCTATTTCGTTGCTTATCAGAGAGTTCTTCATTTTAGATAGTGACTGTATCGGTCAGTCGATGCAGCGTGGAAAACAATGTTAACTGTGGCTATACACATGGGTGGATTGAACCGAACAAATTGTTAAGCCAGATTAACGTGACGGGACCATTTACCTGCGATATTTTCTAAAAATATGTCATTTGCACATTTCATTGTGTCAATTTGTTACAGCCTACGTTCTATTATCAATATTTCTTTCAATACAATAGATTGAAAAGTTGTCATATTTTCCGAATCGATCTCCAATTAAATCACAATATACGCAAACACTATTCGATACCCTGGCATAAAATGACGCCAGTCGTGTAAAACGTTTCTCAGTCTCTTCACGATCGACAGAATGGAATGTTACCTTATTAAGGTTACATATTGAAATCTTACCTTATTGAGCGTTTCGTGACTAGTTAAGATGTGCTGACTGCCATCCGGATGAAGGATACGATCGACCGAATTCGGTCTAGGAACTCCGTCCAATTGTCCAGTCTCTTTCAACTGAGGCGGCGATGGTGGAGGTGGCAATTGTTCTTCCACTCCGCCAGTGTACCGCGTTTTCTGTAATTATAGAATTCCAATACTAAACCGATCCACCAAGACCACGTTACCTGATATACTTGAAATTCCTTTCAGTTCCACCATCACACTCGCACTAACTGCATAATATACCATTTTAAACAGAACCGACGAGAAGAAACGAAAAATCATTCGACTTGAAATCAATTACGTTATCCCAAATCATATACTTATGTACCCTTGTCAACGGATTCGTATGTCTGGCGTAATATTTCTCGTGTTTTCGTTTATCCACGTCCGTGTGCACCTTCAACAGGAAGATATCGGCCGGACCGACTTTCGGCATGTTTAAAAAGATCATTTTGCGCGATGGATTCGGAGCCGGTTGGAAAAATCGATCGATCGACGGTGGTGGATGTATACCAGCGTTTAGCACGGTTTCGACTGGCTGTCCTCAGCCCCAATCGACGCACTGGTCGCATCAGGTTTCGATATCGGCGACGCTGCTCCGACATTCACCGGCTAATCCTCTCGAAATCCCGGATTTCATTTCATTATCGCGACACCGTGGGGCTTCTGGATACGACGGGGGCTCTATCGAGGAGGCCCGGGCCTCTATCAATGATCGAGGTGAACGTTTATTGAAAACCGACCATTTCAAGCGGCCGTTCGCGCGTCTGTGTTGCGAAAAAACGGTGCGACGAATGTTCTTCCCGACCCTTGATTCGTCTGTCCAGTATTGTGTTCTTATTTCGTACATTGGCATGAATTCTAGCAGGCTACCAGTAAAATAAAAACCGTAGTGAACTTCTCACTGTACGGAATTTCATACAGGATGTCTTGTAACTTAGGGTACAACCGGATAAGGGATGATTCTTTGTTCAAAAATAAATCAAAAATTTTTTTATCAGAGGCATTATTTTCGAGAAAATCGAATTTGAAGATTCATCTGTTTGCATGTATTCTTGTTGGCAATAAGTAGAAACGGAATTCAATAAGAAGACACGTGTTGGTCAATCCAGCAGATTTTTCAATGTCGATTTTCACGAAAACAAAGTCTCGAATGAAAAAGTTTTATTATGTATTTTCAACTTATTTTTTTCACATAGAATCACCCCTAATTTTGTTGATTCTACAAAGTACTTCAGTGTCCATAAGAGCAAGCCATAAAGATATACATATGTTTGTCAGTTAAGTCGTTGTGTTCGAAACTGCAGTATCTCTGAATCAAAGAGATTAAAGAGATCGATTACAAAACTTCTACTCCGCAGCGATCAGAATCACTATATTTTTAACCACATAAACGTCACGATCGAATAAAATGAATCGGCGGTGCCTCCCATTCGACTACATCGTTCAGTCAATTTTTCAGCGCTTTAGTGCGATCCTGTTAGTAAATGAACTACACGCTGATCCACGCTCCGCTCGTACAAATATACGGTGGCTTCCTGCTTTCCGAACGAATTTAGCCCCGGCGGCACGGCGCGAAATTTCGAAGCGATTTAATACCGTCAATATTACGGGTGAAAGATATAGGACTCCGTGTTAAAAGGTTCGTCACCGTGTCGCCTAAAAAACTCTTGAATTTGTTGTCTTTTCCCAGCAAGTAAATGTTTCCATTAGGCTTGATGAGTTAACGTTCTATCAAGGACTGAATTATTTCCAAATAAGAGTGCAAAAAGTAAAATTTCCTAAAGTATCGAAGCACATATTCGCGAATAGGTGGCACGGCAATTTGAAAATAGAAAAGTAATTTTACACAGTGAAGTATCCTTCAATCGAAAGAATAAAAACTTGTCTGCAACTGGTACGATGAAGAAATTAGAAGATACTGTAAAAAGAACGGAAAATTACATACAGGGTGCCTCCGAAGTTTATTCACAAGCGATTCTCAGGTGATTCTACGTGAAAAATAAGTTGAAAATACAGAAGAAAAAAAAATCGAGAAAATCGACTTCGAACATTAATCTGAAACTCGTGTATTCGTCATGGTGGTAAGTAGAAACGGAATGCAATGACCAGACGCCCTAGTCAAGTCGTATTCAGTTGCACGCGTATCCAGCAGATCTTCAAATTTTTAGTTCCTCAAAAACGAAGCCTCAAATGAAAACATTTTATTCTGCATTTTATTCTTATCCTTTTATACGGAATCACCTCATGCTTGCTTGGACATAACTGTCGGAGGCATTCTGTATCAAAGAAGATAGAAATTACAGACTACACATAGATCGATATTCTATTCTTCAAATGCCTAACCTTCCGTGACGTGTGTGTGTGTGTGTTGTTTTTTCATTCTCACGATATCGAATCATGCACACGTTTTTGCAAATTGTTCGTTCCCTCAACCAATGGATCGGATTAAAGGTTGGATCGGTTAAGGGTGAGCGTTCGAAAGTAAAAATGAAACTCACGTGATGCCAACAGCATCCGCAAACGCTGCTCGATCGTTTCGATTCGTGCGAAATTACGTTACGAGTAGTGCCGGGCTCTGTGAATCGACAGGACCTCTTTGTTCGTCGTTTGCGCACTTTGATGGGCACCCCGTACATATAGTCGCTGAAGCGTCGATGCGAATGGCGCACGATAGACACCCAGTCGATCATTGTTGCCTCGTGTTGAACCGCGTGCAGGTTAGTCCGCCTCGATTCAGTTCGTGTCACTGATTTTTATCTATGGTTCACCTGACTGTACGTAATGTTTTTTTTTCTTGCATTCCAACACGTTGGTCACTCCAATTCGAAGAAACAAGCTTAATTGTATAGAAGCTCTGCCATCAAACACTTTAACGATCACTTCTTTCAGCCGAGAATCGATTGTGTATTATATTCATTAAAGTTAGACATTGGTTTTTAATACTTGCGTTCCGTAAATAAAAGCCTGGGCGATGTTCGCTATATTTTTAATAAGAACATACTTTTCCGAGTTTATGTACATTCTAAAGTAGTGTGTTTTAGATATACCTTTTTTTGGAAAAAATTGTTTATGTATGCACAAATTAGTTTAGTTCCAAATATTTTGTACAATTTGCCCTATAAACACGTGTCAATGTTATTAAAAATGTTCTCGTTTATACTTTCAACGATTAACTAAGGGAATTTTCATAAATTAATTCTAACTAAAACGCGTATATGATTTTTTTAAACGTCCAAGTTTATTTCCGTTTTCACATCCGATGGAATTTTACTTTTACACGAAGTAATAATATTCTATTAAGTTCCAGATGTTCCATTGAAAAATACTGTTTTATACGTCCGGTAACATCTGACGTTTCCAAAAATTCCGAGTTAATTCAGTTTTTCGTAGCTGTTGACCGAAAAACATCAACTGTAAATTCTCGTTTCCTAGAGCCACGCGCCAGCATTCGTTTCGCACTTTTCTGTTGACATTTCACAACATCCCAGCGAGCTGCGTGAGATATACATCCGCGTGCGATTTTCGAAGTTCACGGAATTGTTTTCCCGATACAAAATAAATCATCTGGCCTCGCAGCTGTCGCGACCGAATGCGCAATTTTCTTCCAGTCGCTTTTCCCGGTCTCCGAGAACATTTCCAGCGGTGCGTACCCAGAGGATCATTCTACAAAAATCTGGCGACCTTTCTCTTCAGAACGATCGATCCTTCGTGAGTCATCTTCGCAGTAACTTCGCGAGTAAGTCGTCGCAGGACCAACGAAAGCTATTCCTTCGTTGCTTTTTCCCACTGAATACTTTGACAGCAACTTTCAATCTTGGAATTTTTATTATATAATGTATTGTAATTATTAATTTGCTTTCGAATAAAAAGAAAAAAAAGAAGAACTTTCAAAAATAATAATTATTCAACAAATTTTCAATAGTTCTAGTTCAATAGTCTAGTTTTATGAAACATCAAAAATTGTCACTCGGGCGATGTTACTCGTTATTCGGGTCAACCAAAGAGAATCAATTCGCAAAATTCCAGTACAAAATCAATTACAATCAAAATATTTTCACAGTCCTCGCTTCGCACACAGTACCACAGGTGAATCGCGAATTTATCCCGCGTGTCCGTTATTTCTACAAAACATTCGAGCCCGCGATAACCGCCAACCCCGAGAACTCCGTTTGTCGCACTCCGTGGGCTGCGCACATTGTCGTGAATCACGCAGGCAGGCGACAGACCGTGCACGAAGGGTAAGCCAATCGCAGGGAATCCCGATCGAAGTCAGGAAACTCGAGGAGAAACCCCGTATCGCGAGGGGTGAACGACGAAGTAGGGAAAAAAATGGGGGAAGGGGTGAGCCAACCCATAAGAACGAAGCTCGTCGAAGACTGAACACAATGCCAGTATCGACCGACGATTCCGCGGGATGTTTCCTCGACGGGATGAAGAACTCCAGCGAAAGAATGAAATTTCAACGTTGAGGGTGGGCAGATACGTCGCGGGGGTGGCTCGAACGCTAATGGAAGAGAAACGTTTCGTTATTCCAACGAACGGGACAACGCTCCCACGGCCGGATGTTTCGAAACTGGGTCCTTCTTTGTTCGTAACTGTGCTATCTTTAACACCCGAGAAGACAATGTTTGGCCCCGGTTGTTCACGATTTAATGGGGTTTCCGAGCGTGCCACGAACGAGAACTTCAAAGTGGTCGGAAACGTTTACAGCGTTCCCCGAGTATATCAAACGGGCGTGCGACGTGAAATTGTTTACGCGAAGAGAAAAATAGGTCTGACTACAAAAGCTTGTTACACGAGTCGCCTGGGAACTCGTGTATCTACGCATTACGTATTACTTTTTGCTTCTCGTCCGGAAAAAAAGACAAGCTTTACGGGGTTAAAATTAGATCTCCGTTCGGGAAACGCATGTTCCCCGCCGCGCGAAACTTTTATCTTGCCGTTCTGTCCGCGGGTGAAGGGGCGGTGTAAAAGTTTCAGAGAAATCTGTCGAAGAGGAATCGACGGGTTCGGGATATGGAATGAAACAGGGTCTCTGTTGCTGCGTTATGGGCGTGAGAAGAGTATTTTCGAGCGGGAAGGTGCTTGACATTCGTATAATGCGAGAGTTCTCTGGCATTTAGAATTCGGTTGTTTTGACATTTTGTCTGAAAGGTACTATTTCAATCGGAAATTAACAAAATTTCATAGGAAGAATGACGATGAAACATTTAGTAAAAGTACGAAATTATTTTCTTCTGAAGTCTGTTCACACTGGCGGCGATTCAACGTAATTTAATTAAAAAGAGTTATCGGAAAGAAAAGCAGCGGTTTCTCAAACAAAAGGGGTGTTAACCCTCGTCAGATTATTTTCATTGGACCGGAGCTTTAGAGAACTGTTCACCCGTGTTCGCTTTATTCGGGCGGTTCCCAAACAAGCGATTTGACGCCACTCTTCCAAGAACAACAGAAGGGTCTGGCAAGGTCGGCTATTCGTGTCAATTAATACCCTCCCTTGTCTCGCCCCTCTGTCGCCACGTGATCGCGTTTTATCGAATTTCCCTGTCCCTGTGACAAAAAAGGACGCCAAGTAAATTGGACACGATCGAATAGCGAAAAATCAATGAAATCTTCACTTTGGAAACATTCTACGATCCAAACGTGTTGAACGTGACACCAATCAGGTTACCGTTTAACCATCTATCGACAATACACTCAATTTAACGTAACTTTCTTCACGTGTGTTTTTCTTCGAAGCTTATTCGTTTCCTTTTTTCCTGATGCACTGCGAACAGCAGGTTCGAAAATAGAAAATATATACACACACACACGCGTGACAGATTGCCGAACAGAGACACTCGGAGTTCGAACGAAGTATCGTGGAGAGAGGACGAGGTTCTCCGCCTCGAAGGGATGGACGTCGGCGTCGGTACTGTCGTAAGAACGTCTCGATATTGGCGGCCGGTTCGTTCCGACGCTCCTACCAAGGCGTCGTGGTCTAATTCCGACACGCGTCTTCTCATCGAACAGAGCGTGACGATGTTTCGCCAGCAGACGCCCCGCAAACGACCACGCCACTACGGATAACAACCGTATTTTTGCACGTGTTCCCGTTTGTAGTTAGTGCTACGTGACGACCAGTAACGTGCAGAATTTTCGTTTACTCGCGTAACAAATTTATCCGTGTTCGATTATAGCAGCGAAACCGTAACCGAGCGCAACTAAAACAAATGTTAACCCTTTCGTTCCCACTGTTGCCATACGACTACGTATTCTACATTACCATATAAAATATTAGTATCATGTATTTTTTTATATCTATGAGTAGGTACATAATATTTTTTTTTTATTTTGTATAGATATGGTATGGCACAAATTTGAATGTGCATTTGAAATCTTATCGGTAAAATAAGATATTATTAGTCACTCATCTTTCATTCGATGGAATTCATGTGTTGAGCATTATTAAAAATACAACGGACATTTACGAATGTCAAATTTGTTGCAAATATTTTAAGGGAGTTTATAGATCAAAAGGTAAGAAAAATTGGGAATTATTATATGTATACAACTGCGATAAAAGGAAAGAAAGTTATCGAATCGGAACGGACAAAAATACAACGATCTATTTCTCTGGTAATTTTTAAATAATTTGAGAATGAAAGGGTTAAGTAGAAATTCATTTTTTCTTTAAGAATTTTCTTGAGATACGAATACATGAAAAACCTCATTCACTTTTTGTTATACATTTAGTCTGTTATGTCACGAAATGATTGTTTGCTTGTTCTTGTTGAATTCATTGAAAATTTTACAATTACGGTATATATCCCAATTACTGGTAGTATCGCTAATATTGCCACTTTATTTATTTTATTTACACTAGGACTCTATTGAGAGATTTACAGAAAAGCAAAGAAATACGTGTGCCTGTACATACTTGGTATTTAAAAATGAATGTTGAAAAATGAAAGTGCAATTTGAGCGTCGAAAACGCGACTACGTAAGTAAGAAGCGATTGGCGAAACAAAGTGATCTGTTAAAGTATATAAGAATCGCTTTAATTTTTAGGGTGACAGTTATAGGAACACTGTGCTTGCTAGCAGACTTCGAATAATTGTGAATTAATTGTTCATATTTATTGTATAAAACTGTTTAATTATTTTATGTACTGTTGAAACTAAAAATCGTCTCAGTTTGAAATATAATATTATTTAACATTTCTAGCATTAAAAGAAAATAGTTTTATACAATATTAAAAAAGTTGCGTTACAATATTAAAGTGGCAGTAATTGGGACATCTACCATACTGCAATTATTACTTTCCAGTGAATGGTCCCTAAATTAATCAGAAATTCAATCTACAAACTGCCTTGAAAAGTTGCACATAGGATTACCATGTTATTTTTCGTATAGTTTCGTCGCAATCTAAGCGTTTTGCCGCATTTTTTGGAAGAAACTTGTTCAATGTGGCTAGCGATTGATAACACAGGAGAGTAACAATTCTCGACGTTACAAAATACTCTCAGACAATAGAGACGTCACGGCGCTAGAGATCGATGCCCGGAGCGAGATTGTCTTCGCGTGGAAATTTCTCTGAAAATTTACGTACCGGTCTAATTAAGCAGCCGCTTAATTAAACTTCGTGCGGTGAGAATGGCAGGCGCGAACGAGCACGGTTCACTGCCATAGAAGTGGGCTATACGGTGTATCAGGAGTTATTTATAATCATACATCCTAGAAACGTGCCGATTATTTTATTAACAACCACCAGCGTGGATGTATAGTTTCCGTTCGAATGGAAGATTTCCCCTTATTATTACGAACAGTCGAAAATTGTTTGTTTTCTCGTGTTCGAAACTTTTCGCGGAAATCTGCAGTTGACGTGTTAACATGAATAACGATCCCCGATAGAATCTAGGTGGATAATTTTGTATAATTGAAAATTCACGGGAAACTGGGTGTTTTCCGTAAGCGATACAAAGCAAGATAAACAAAATCGCTGCAAATTGTTTTCAGTTGTGCAGCTTGTTGTTTCGCGACAAGTTAACGGGTTTCTTTGTACTTCACGTTGTATAGAGAAGACACGAAACGAAGGATATCGAGTTTTCCGAAGGAAACTGTACGCGATCGTCGTACAATACACTCTATTCCGTTCCCGTGGCGCTGCAGGATTCCGCGAAGAAAGAAGCAGAAATGATAACAGGAAACCGTGAGTTGTATATAGGACGAAGATAAAGCACCTCACCGTTTTTCCGCTCTGTTCGTCACGGAAATGAGAAAGCGAATAGGGGCGGAGAAGAAAGTCAGACCCCCGGAAAATTATAGTTTATCCTTGATGTAAGACGGATTAATTTCTGCTGTTGTCGTTTCAATGGGCACCCTTCTGTGCACGGAGTTGAAGGTAAATTATTAATAACGTCCGTTGAGCAACGTCTCGTTAGATGGGGGAAAGGTTTCAGCATTACTGATTCTTTTGTTGACGCTCTAACGTTAACTGTGTGGACATAGAAACGAATTGCTCGAGTACACGTCGGCAAGAAGGCATCGAAGGGTGATAAATTACCGACGGATGTTGGAAGCTCATGTCAGAATAGAAATCGTAAGGGGTACACTAGTCGGTAAAATAGGAATCCTGCTAAGAGAGATAAACACGTACAGAGACCTGACAGATTTCTTCATTTGCAATCGAGTATCACGCGTGATCGATTAAATTCAAATAATTACATTAAACTTTGAAAATAATAATCGTAATGTTATCGTAAACGACTGTATTAGAATTTAATGTCCATAACTGTTTCCATTTTTGAATTGTATTAGTTGTTAGATGTTTCGTTTTTCATAGTTACATTTGTAATTATTACAGTCAAATGAGAATTAACCTCCCACGTGACATTATTTAGAGATTTACGAACCTGAGCTTCGTCTACGTGGTGCTGAACGTCAGGACTGACCGACCTGCGGCCATAAATGTTCGACAGAGTCTGGTTCACCGGGAAGGCTGGACCACCCTGCAATAATCACATGATTTAAAAATATCTCTTCGTGCTCTGGCTGTACATTATAAAACGATACGTGTTCCAGTTAAATTTCGTGTTGCATCTTAATACTAGAACTACCGACAATAGATAACTCACTCGTTTACTTAGATATTGCGATAAATGTTGCAAAAGACGTGAGAAAATGCATTGTTGCAACATTCTACTCATCGTTACAAGAGTGTACCAACCAATCACTTTCACTGCTTTGGTAGTTCTAGTATTAAAACGTCACCATTGCTACATACCTGACATAACAAACACACAGGGTTCATCAATGGGGGACATAACCAAAACAAGGGCTGAATAATATGAACACATACGAAAAAAATATAGATCTATAAATTTGTCATTCTCGGCTTAGATTTCGACCAAACTGAATTTGAAAATTAATTTGAAACGCATATATTCATGATAGTAAGTAGAAACGGAATGCACTGATCAGACGCGTCAGCCAAGTCCTATTGAATTACACGCATATCCAGCAGATATTCAAAGTTGATTTTCTCGAAAACTAAGCCAAGAACGACAAAATTTTAATCCATACTGTTTTCTTATTTTTTCATAAGGAATCAAGTGATGCCTGCTTTAACATATTATTATTCGGTTGCTTACAAACAAAATTATCCTAAAGATCAAGTTCCATCTCTTTCTGGTAACAGGATCAATGCGTCTCATTAAACTACAACGGACTTCCACGTTGTCCCGACCATTAACGAACATTTATTCATCCCCGGCACGATCGTTTCGTTGAATCCTTCGACAATCGCATCACCCCCCACTACCAAAAACATGCGAAACTCACTAATCAGCGACACTAAATATTCCATCAGCCGAAATGCCCGTCTAACCGGACAATTTGCAGACAAACGGAATTACGAACACCGCGAGTTCGTCGTCCAACGGGTCCGAGGCGTGCGCGCGTCCGAGGGGGTTGGGAACGCAACCGAGGGAAAGACTTAATTTCTGGATCAATTAGCCATTAACCGTCAACTCGATCCCTGCTCGCAATTTAAACTTCGTCATCCCACCCCCATCTATTTCCCTAACCCTCCGACTACTTGTTCTCTATCCGTGTCTTTGTCGCGTTTAAACGTCGGTTTGCGTCGGTTCGAAACCTCTCCCCTCCCCCCCGGAAGCGTAAAACCGGTGGCTCCGGAAGGCGTGCAAATAAATAGAGCCCGGTGAGACGCAAAGTCAATTATCGTTCAACGGGAGACTGACGGGGGTAGTTCCGGCGACGGTGGCGCGCGCGTGCACGCTCTCTGGCCGTGCGTTAAACGAACCAAACGGAATTATTCATGACGAACTTTCGATGCGCAGGTGTGTTTAACATCCCCCGCGCCACTTTTCCCCCAGTCATCCTACGCTGCACACTCTTTATTAAATATGCACTATCGTCCCCGCTATCCTCGCTGGTCGCCGCCGCGTTTGTTCCGCCACTGCATCCCGGTGCAACGATACCACCGTCCTATTTTCTCTCGTTCTATCGTCACCCCGTTGGCCCCGTTTCACCTGCAAACGTGTGAAGAATTCGTTCTCGCATGCTCCGGCGGTTGCCACCGTAGAGGAAATAATGTCCACGTGATTTTATTCCATCTTTTTTTCGGCGTCTGTCTCTCCACACATATACATACGGACCCATCCCCTCGTTCTATGAGAGATATAGCGTGTTTTTCACCGTTTCGGTCTCGTGTCTCGAGGAGAACAGAATTTTATGCCCGTTGTGCGTCGGTCAGTGGGATCGTCGAAATGTTCTGTTTCGGGAAGAAAGGAAAACGGGTGAAGTTTATCTCGGGCGAGACAAACGTAACGAAGTGCATTTCGCGGGTAAGAGAAATGAGATCGAATTGTTTCCCATCTAATTAGAGACGTCACGGTACTATTCTCGGTGAAAATGGACACGGACAACTGGTTTTTTAGAGCGAGGTAATAGAAGAGAATTCGTCTTCAGAGTTCAGTGGGAAACGTAGAACAAGAGGGAAATTCGTTCGTGTAGATGCGAAGGAACACAATCGATATCCTGCGGAAGAAGTAGAACGGGTTCGTACTTACACAGACAAGGGGAACAGGATCGATCACTGGGCGAGGTAAGTAGAGTAGAATCGGTTCCAGCGAGTGATGGGCGAGAGAGGACGATTCCTGTCTCACGCGACACGTGAAATTGGTGCTGTCTCTGGTCAGACAAGTGGAACGGGTCTCTTTATTTCCACGGACAAGTGAAATATGATTACGTTCTTGGTGGGACGAATAAAATGGTGGGTTACCACTGACCGTGTCGGTAAAGTAAAGACGGTTCTTGATCAATCGCGAGGAGAAGGAACTTTTTGCAGTCGGACGAGAGAACAATGGTTATCATTATTAAGTAGAATATGGCCCACAATGGTCAGACAAGTATTGTATAAATTACCAACACACAGATTGATCTCTGATCAGACTAGTGAAACGTTTCTAGCATGTACAAAGTAGAATGAGGAACATGCCTCGTCAGACACGTGAAATATGGGTGAATCATTGACAAGGGAAGGACCTCCACTGTCCGATTTCGATTTCAACAGGGTATTGTAAGACGATAGTATACAGATTGCTAATGAAAATATGTAAAATAGTAGATGTAGACACTTGATAATTTTGAAGATATAAGTAATTACAGTTACTACCTTTCAGGTGTACTATGAATCTAAGTCAAACTTATCAAAGTATGAGGTTGTTTGGCTAGTAAATCGTATATCCTGGGATGGATTCTCGCACACCGAAATATTTTTGTTCTAGTTTACCAAGGGAACTCCGATAACTTTGACTTATAGTGATAATATATCGAGAAGTTTCGTAACTTTAACTGCTTATACCTATAAGATTATCAAGTGTCTACATCTACTATTTCACGTACATCATCAGGACTCTGTATATTATCATCTTACAAAAGCTAGTTAAAATCGACAATGGACAGTGGGGTCCCTGCGAGTACAGGAGGCATAACCTGAGATCCTTATACAGATGAATGAAATAAAGTCAACTGTGCAATTTACATATATGAAAAACAATCTAAACCAGGTATGTCTACAGTAAATAATCGATAAATGTCCGAAAGCTCATCGACACTGCACATTAAATATTTCATAAACTAATGGCCATAATGCAGCTGAAACAGATATTATTCGCTTTAGAATTCCAAGCTCTATCACTGTGCTAAACCTCATTAATAAAGTCACCGTTACACCAGGCGGACCTTGTCAGTACCGAGGAGCCTTTGTACACTCATAGAGGATTTATTGTATTCGGGCTCTTATCAAACACTCACGACCAGACACCCATGTCGAATCACTCGCATAAAATAAATCCTATTCTTATATCCAGAACCGTTACATAATCCCATTCGATGTGAACAGATGGTCGATCCACAGACCATTTCGTCGGATAAATTAAACAGGAAGAAGATCCAGAACGTGGACAACGATCTCAACCCGCTGGCGGCGACCGATAAGAACGGATTGTCGGAGGAAAAGTAAGGGGGCTAAGGATCAATTTATCCCCGGCGAACGGGAATGTAAACGAAAGACCACTTTCCGCTCGGGCTGGTGTTCCGTGGAAAACCGGTAAAATGGGGAACGGAAAAACGGTGGTACGTGTTTGACAAGCTGCAGACCGGGTTTAGGAGAGAGCAACGTCGTCTTCGTTGTCGTCTTCGTTGTCGTCTACGGGAAAACCCGTACGTACGCCGGCACGATTTTTGCGCCCGACATATTTTGATTTTACGTGCAGCCGAGAAACCAGACGTGACAGCAATATATTTGAATCGCGTGCAGCCATGCGTGCGAAATTGAAAGAAAACACGGTGCACGCGCAACCCCGCCGCGATGAAATGAGTTCGTCGGTCGTCGTGACGGAATTCTTTTTTTTATTTTTTTTTCGACCGTTTTACGAAACATTATATCAATTCCGTGCCGTGCGTTGATCACGGCTTCGCGAACAACCAGTGGCGGACGGTGAACAGAGAATTTCGCCGAGCGACGAGGTAACTGCGGATGAAAAATTCGTTCGACATTCTACCCGCTCAGCCAGTGGCGGCTCGGTTTTCTCTCGGTTGCCGGATGCTGTTTGCGTTTTCCGCGATAATTAAAACGTACAAACGCGTAACGGTTTAACGTTCAACTCGTATTTAATGACTGTCCGGTGTAATTATCGGCGGGCAACGTTTTTCTCCATTTCCGTTCCATGAGCCCACGGCATTATTTTCTCATCCACAATCCATTACGGGTGTAATCGTTAACCGGATATTTCTGACCGTGTAAAAATTTTCAACCGGAAATATTTCTCCTCACTATATTCACGGACATGTACGTAATTTCTAATATTACTGGCGGCTTTCGGGTTTTTAACGCACTGGAACACAACAAGACTCGTCGGAATGACGGTTTTCGTGTTTCTTACTTTGAGATCACTGACGTCGTAAAGGAACTTCCGTCGGAGTTTACGTTGATTTTTAATTTATTGTACGTTTGACATTGTAGTATATTCTGTTATCTAGTATTGTACAGGGTGTTGTCGGAATCTCTCGTCGAGCAGACCTTTTTCCATGAACGAAGAATGTTATTGGGAACTCGGCTAAGACAGAAGGGTGCAATGATTCGGAAGTATGACGAGAAATAAAATATATTGTAGAAAAAAAAGTAATACACGTTCGCTTATTCGCTAACCAGTATGCCGCACAACTGCGGAAAAATTCGATTTTGGTGGAGCAGCGACGCACAATGGTGCGGTGTACATAGGTATCGCCGAAAAAACCTCATAACTTCAACAATTTTCAATATTTTTGAATATTTCTTGTTCTATCCTACTTTTTAAAAACTAAGCTTTATTTTGAATATAATATTAGAAAAATTAAAATGCAAATAAAAAATGAAATAATGATAAATTCCAGAAATATATTGAATAAAAATAAGATTAAATAGCAGCGAGCGTCTTTTGTCTCG